AAGGTGGGCGAAAGGTGAAAGTGGCATTTGTGGAAAACATACAAGCAGACCTAAAATGTAAAGTGCTTTGGAGGACAAAGTGCTATGGGATCATTATTCTGGGCACACTGGAACAGCCACGTCTTCAAGCTCCTCCTGAAGACTGCCAGAGTTGGGGCCTGTCTGATGTCTTTAGGGAGTGAGTTCCAGAGTCGAGGGGCCACCACCGAAAAGGCCCTCTCTCTCGTCCCCACCAATCACGCCTGCGATGCAGGTGGGATCGAGAGCAGGGCCTCTCCGGATAATCGAAGAGATCGTGTGGGTTCGTATACAGAGATGCAGTCACGCAGGTAGGCGGGTCACTATTAGATATTTTACAGTCACTATTAGATATTAGATATTACAGAAGATTTAGATATTATAGAAGATTTAGGAGTAATTAATTTTTTTTATTCCTTGATAACTGGCAGCCTGTAGTTTACCTTGAATACTGAGCCCCCGGTGGTGCAATTGGTTGAACCCTTGTGCTGGCAGGACTCAAGACCGATAGGTCACAGGTTCGAATCTGGGGAGAGCGTGGATGAGCTCCCTCTGTCGGCTCCAGCCCCCTATGCGGGGACATGAAAGAAGCCTCCCACAAGGGTGGTAAAACATCAGAAACATCTGGGTGTCCCCTGGACCATGTCCTTGCAGATGGCCAATTCTCTCACACCAGAAGCGACTTGCAGTTTCTCAAGTCGCTCCTGACATGAAAAAAAAACCTTGAATACTAAGATCTATATACTGTATTTTGGGAGTGTGAATAGCCCCATCACCACCGCCACCAACTGATCAGTTCATTGCCTAGAAGCCAGCTCTACAAGGCTGGTTCCTGGATGGCAGACATGAGGTAGGATGAAAGTAGGATTTTGTGAGGCACCTAATGCCTCTAAATATAATAATAATGATGATGATGATGATGATGATGATGATGATGATGATAATAAATGACATTATTACAAAAATCCAGCATGTACAGACATGAGGTAGGATGAAAGTAGGATTTTGTGAGGCACCTAATGCCTGTAAATATAATAATAATGATAATAATGATAATAATAATGATAATAATAAATGACATTATTACAAAATCCAGCATATACATACAGTATGTATGCTGTGACATACTGTGTTTTTGTGTCAGTATAATAATAATAATAATAATAATAATAATAATTGTTATTATTGTTAACAGCAATGTTTTGTTGTTTCTTTCTGCTGATTATTATTATTATTTTTATTAGTAATAATCATCAGAAAGGAGTAACCAAAGTCTTAAACTAGACACAACTGGTTATTCCTAGGAAACATACTTCTATGACTATTTAGAACCAGATTTTGTGTGTTCCTTCATATGAACTAAACTGAGAGCATACCTCTATTTGACATTAGCAACCAATGCATATGTTTTTCTAAATTAAATGTCAGGCACATGGAAGTGAGTAGGAGGTTATAATCAAGGTTGCTTCCCTCCTCAGCCACCGTTGCTAGAAAACCACCCCTTCCCTGCATGCCAATTTTTGCACATGTACGAATGGAAAGTTTTTCCCCTCCTAATACTAATAGGGTGGCGTATGTGTATATGTATAATGGAGACTGTAGCTGTGGGAAAAGAGTTTATTTCCCCCCTATGCACACACTCTTTAAACACTTACCTTCCTGCCTTTGATTTTGAAAAACATTGCTGGTCACGTAGCATCACCATACATTTGGCATCTTGGTTATTTCTGACATACCTTTATCCTGATTAAGTGAAACATGAAAATACCCCACCACACCTCACTATCTCTGAGGATGCTTGCCATAGATGCAGGCGAAACGTCAGGAGCGAATGCCTCTAGACCATGGCCATACAATCCGAAAAAACCTACAACAACCCATGAAAATAATTTTTCAAAATCTAATGGGATGGATGCAGCCCTGTGGATCCTAAGTTTGTGGATAGGGTTTAGGGTTAAGTACCAGGATTCTGTACAAGTGGTTCCCCCCCCCCATGACAACCCCACATTTTCCCAACCAGGAATAAGAAAATGTCCCCCAAAAGCCTGGTAGCTTTATGATGGAAGTTGTGGGGACTTCCCTGTATAGAAAATTCCTATAGTCCAAATTTATTTTTATTGGAATCAAGGGTCCCAGGTAAGCAAAAAAGAACATTACATTTTTTATTTATATAGACTAGCCGTCCCCTGCCACACATTGCTGTAGCCCAGTCTGTGTGTATGCTTTTTGTGTATATATATGTGTGTATGTATATGTTTTTTGTACATGCATTGTAATTTATTTTTGCTTTTAAAGTCTCTTACGCCATGGATGCGGCAGCAAAAAAAGCCAGTGGGATTTTTGCCTGCATCAATAGGAGTCTAGTGTCTAGATCCAGGGAAGTCATGCTACCCCTCGATTCTGCCTTGGTCAGACCACCCTGATTCCCCTTGTCAAAGGAGATGTTGACAAGCTGGAATGTGTCCAGAGGGCAACTAAAATGATCAAGGGTCTAGAGGACAAGCCCTATAAGGAGTGGCTTAAAGAGCTGGCCATGTTTAGCCTGAACTAGAGAAGGCTGAGAGGAGACATTATACCCATGTATAAATATGTGAGAGGAAGTCATAGGGAGGAGGGAGCAAGCTTGTTTTCTGCTTCCCTGGAGACTAGGACGTGGAACAATGGCTTCAAACTACAAGAAAGGAGATTCCATCTGAACGAGGAAGAACTTCCTGACTGTGAGAGCCGTTCAGCAGTGGAACTCTCTGCCCCGGAGTGTGGTGGAGGCTCCTTCTTTGGAAGCTTTTAAACAGAGGCTGGATGGCCATCTGTCAGGGGTGATTTGAATGCAATATTCCTGCTTCTTGGGCAGGGGGTTGGACTGGATGGCCCATGAGGTCTCTTCCAACTCTTTGATTCTATGATTCTATGATTCCATTGTGTTTTCAGTGTTTTTATGAGTGAAGGTCACTTGTTGGCCTGATAGGTGTATTGTGGCCAAATTTGGTGTCAATTCATCCAGTGGTTTTTGAGTTATGCTAATCCCACAAACGAACATTACATTTTTATTTATATAGATTTAAAAAAACACAAACAAAGTTAAAAACTTGGCATTATACTAATTTTCCTTTGACCAAAAGGTGGCCACTTGGAGTGTCTCTGATGTCGCTGTCAGAAGGTCCTCCATTGTGCATTGGGGGGCTCACGCTGCATTGTAATAGGTGGTCTATGGTTTGCTCTTCTCCACACTCGCATGTCGTGGACTCCACTTTGTATAGCCAGATGTACCCACACGTGTTCGGTCATCCTGTCTAAGTAGATTATATTTCATGTTCCAGGGAAAGTTCCCTATGGTCTTCAGTTTTAAGAGGAAAACACATGAACCACAGTGTGTAGAGAGCTCTAAATCACAGTCACCAATGGAATGAACAGCTAAATTAAATCATCTAATGAGGGAAAGGACAATCAAAACTGTAATACTGCACATACACAATATATTTTATTTATTTATTTATTTATTTGGAGTTTTTATAACCCGGTCTTCTCAACCTCCGGAGAGGACTCAGGCCGGCTAACAACAGAGGTTTCAGTACAATAAGATAAAGTAAATATACATCATCAATATAAGGTACATTAAAATACAATTCATACCATTTACAAAAAAGTCACTTTGTCAGAGCGAAGTCACAAATTACAAATTCATCGCCATCCGCCAGTAGGTCAACAGTTATTGACTCAGTCATCCATCTGCAAATGCAGTGTCCCAAAGCCAAGATTTTACCAGCTTTCTAAAAGTTAGGAGGGAAGAGGCAGATCTAATCTCCACCGGGAGGGAGTTCTAGAGCCGAGGGGCCACCACTGAGAAGGCCCTGTCCCTCGTTCCCACCAAGCGCGATTGCGAAAGAGGTGGGACTGAGAGCAGGGCCCCTCCAGAAGATCTTAACAACCTTGATGGAGAATCCGTTCGGACAGATAAACTGGGCCGGAGCCGTTTAGGGATTTATAGGTCAACACCAGCACTTTGAATTGTGCTCGGAAGCTGATTGGCAGCCAGTGGAGCTGGCACAACAAAGGAGTAGTATGCTCCCTATACCCCGCTCCTGTTAGTAGTCTGGCTGCCACTCATTGGACTAGTTGTAGCTTCCGGGCAACCCCACATAGAGAGCGTTGCAGTAGTCTATACGGGATGTAACCAGAGTGTGTACCACCGTGGCCAAGTCAGACTTCCCAATATACGACGAAGGGAATGTTCAACAAGCTGGAGGAATCTAAATGGAAGCACAGGAAGTAACCACACCACAAAAGAAACTGCAACTGGCATGGGAGGAATCAAAATAGAGTTCTTAAATACCATCAAGACACTTTCAAAACAGAAGCAAATCTGTAGGGAAATTTTAAGTCTATTTTCAACAGTGGCATTTATTTCCCCTTTTTTGTAAAGTTTCGTTGAGATGTTTGTGGGTCATTTGCGCAATAAAATGAAGTTCAGGGAAACTTACAATCAAATATAAGTTGGGATAACCCCCCCCCCCCAAAAAAATTAAATCCAACGATAGACAGCAACCACACAGCATTATAAATATCATAATGAAAACTTTATGTAAAACAATATTAGACTAAAAGCTATCAAAAGCTCAGCTAAAATAAGCTCAGAGGATTAAATAACCTTTTAAAATGAGCAAGATTGAACCTTGTAAGCTTGCCCTTACAGACTATTGAACATTTTTGCTGGCATAACTGAACAGTCTACCATGCAGCTGTGGACAAGTCTACATAGGGACCACCAAACACAGCAACCAAATATAAATCAAGGAACATGAAAGGAACTGCAGACTAATTCAACCAGAGAAGTCAGCCATAGCAGAGCACTGATGAACCAACCTGGACACAGCATATTATTTGAGGACACAGAAATGCTGGACCACTCTCACAACCACCATGTCAGACTACACAGAGAAGCCATTGAAATCCACAAGCATGTGGACAATTTCAACAGAAACCTTTAAAATGAACAAAATCTGGCTACCAGTATTAGAAAAAAACTCTAAAATCAGGACAGCAAATAAAGAGCAACACTCAAAAACAGTGGAATTCCAGGCAAGAAACAATAAGGACCAGCTAATACATTTTAACAAAGGACTCCCCCAGGTAGGAAGCAGTCAGGCTTTGAAGCTGCAAGGCTATTTAATGCTCCAACAGACAAGAGTTCTTTCTCCCACTCTGGACATTCCACAGATATATAAACCACAGTTTCCAACAGACCTCAAAACCTCTGAGGATGCCTGCCATAGATTTGGGAAAAACGTCTCGAGAGTATGCTTCTGGAACATAGCCATATAGTCCGGAAAACTCACAACAATCCAGTAAAACAAGATAATAAGAAGAGTGGTGGGAACTGAGCACAGATATCTGGCAATGTTTGTTGTTGTTCATTTGTTCAGTTGTTTCCGACTCTTCGTGACCTCACGGACCAGCC